CGCATTTGCGAAGGCTCCCTTTTTGCATTTGCGAAGCATTTGGTCGCAAATGCGAACTTAGCAGAAAGCCTCTTGTTTTGCTTTTGCGATGTTTTGTCGGCATTTGCGGAGGTAGCATTTGCGAACCCCTTTGCTAAATGCTGACAACGCCGAGTCTTAGCTTTATTTATGTTATATTTTGAACCCTAACTTCGATGGGAGACGATTTTGTGAAGATATTTTCATGCCAAATCATTCGGTAAGTACTTCTAATTAATTCGCAATTACATTTCATGATTATATATAAGATTTAACATCAAATTCATGAGAAATCTAGGGAAAAATCTAGGGATTTTGTCAAAGTTTTAAAAAATAAAAATTTTGGGATTCGACAATCGAATAGGACTCGGATTTGAAAATAAAATACGTATTTTAACTCGTGAGGCTATGGGTGGTCAAAACCTACCCTTGGACCCCGGTTTTGACCGGGCGGGCCCAGAATTTGACTTTTGTTGACTTTTTAGAAATTGAATAAAAATCACAGCTTTATTAATCGAGATTGTTTTCCCTTGCATTATGTGATGTATTTAAGTCGTCTTTGGCTAGATTAAGCCGAGCGGAGGTGAATTTGTAAAGAAAAAGCTAAATTGAGTATTGAGTTAGCCGAATTGCGGTAAGTATCTTGCCTAACTTTGTTGAGGAAATTTTTCCTACTATTTGTCATTGTTTGCTACATGCGGGGATGATACATATATGAGGTGACGAACATATATGTATGTGTCGGGGTTAACCATGCTCGGGGGTAGATTATATTATAATTGTGACTTACAGAATTACGTGACCTTCTTGTTTCATGCCTTACTTGACTCATAGATACTAAAATCATAGTATTAAATGTTAGGAACTAAGACTTGGCTTGTTATGACTTGATTAACTTTGATGGAAATCCTGAGAACACTATGCACAACATTAATACATTGCTACAACCAATATTCTTGAGATACTACACTATATACTTGTGTAATGGATCATTTGTGAGAATTGTTGGAATATCTGAATAATGAGGTTCTTGCGGATTATTGAACTATTATTGCCTTGAAATTTGTGATTGGGATTCATTTGGAATATTCGTTTCAATACTATCCTTGATATTATTTACGCTTCTTGTCTTGTTTGTCATTGATATACATATGCCTGGTAAGGAAGAGTGTAAAGCACGAAGGGTGATGTCATACCATTATTTATACATTATCATGTGAGGGAGAGTGTAAAGTACGAAAGGTGATGTCGTGCCATATTATTGAGGGTAAAAGCACAAAGTGTGATGTCGTGCCATATTATTGAGGGTGAAAGCACGAAGGGTGATACCGCGCCATATTATTGAGAGTAAAAGCACGAAAGGTGATGCCGTTCCATATTATTGAGAGTAAAAGCACGAAGGGTGATGCCGTGCCATATCATTTGTGAGTAAAAGCACGAAGAGTGATGTCGTGCTATTGCATTTATATTATCATGCTTTTGTGTTATTGCGAGTTCATGGCATGAAGAGTGTTTCCATGCAAGTGAGGACGAGGGACATTGATTATGTTGTGATATCCTTTTCTTGCAGATATCTCCATGTCTTTACCTTGAATTGTTCTTGTTGTACTTATGGTTCTTATGTGACTTGTCATTACTGTTCTGTCTTTATTCTCTATCTCAATTGTTGTTGTGTTGCCCATGCCTTCTATTTGCTTAAATTGTAAATATCATGCCTACTTCCTGTTGTTATAATTGCATCCATGTCATATTTGTTTTGTTGCACTTAGGTACAGGTCTTCTTCCATGTTAGTCATTAATGTCTCTACTTATTAACTTATAAAGATCATGTGTCCCCTTTCTTATTTGTTATATATATCTTCATACCTTCGCCATACCAGTTAGTTGAAGTTACATTCCTTTTTCCTAATTGTTGTCATTACCTCTATATTTTCCGCCTAGTATGTTACTGATGCCCTTATGTACATTCTCGTTTGTTATTGCTACTTACATATTTCATACTTTGTCATTTCTATTATCGGCATTTCTGCTATTAGGTTGGTACTGTTTACGCATATATGATGAGGATGAGATAAATGCACGAAGGGTGTTGTCGTGCCGTTGTATTTAATGTCTTGAGTATTTATCTCACACTATGAAAGTTTGGAGGTGATTATTGTGGTTCATTGGGTTTCGCTTTAGAGAAAAGATTGGTCGAGATATTGGAAACTGTTGAATTGTGATCTCTTCTAGTACTCTGTTATTGCTTTGTACATTCATTTCGTATGCTCTATTCTGTTATACCGTAGTATAGTTCTATTGTCAGTTTATATTACAAATTTTATCAGTGAGAATCGTTTGACTAAAAAGCCTCGTCACTACTTCGAGGAGGTTAGACAAAATACTTGCTAGGTACATGGGGCCGGTTGTACTCATACTACACTTCTGCACCTTGCGTGCAGACTTTTGGAGCGGAGCTGCTGGTGATCTTGGGAGCTGACCCTGAAGGTGATCGTGCATTCCAGATACAGCTGCCACTTGTCCTTGGTAGCTTTAGATTTTGTTAATCTGTTTATGTAGCTTTCAAACATATCGTGTAATTATTTGTATCAGTTTTGTAAATTCTAAGTCTTAGAAGCTAATGATTTGTACTACCAGCTCTTGGGCTAATGTGTAAAAGTTCAGATAATTCCTTACTATTCTTCCTATAATTTCATTTGGTTTGGTATTGTAGTTTACCTAGCTGGTCGAGTTTGGTGCTATTACGACTAGTGAAGGAAGTTTTTTTTATATATATATATATAAAAAGTCTTTCTAACATTTTCTAGATTTTCCTATGCATAGATTAAAGAGGAGAGATAAACGATCTTTTAGTCAAATAATCTTCTTAATTAATTAATGCTATTACGTAGATTTTTTAATGAATATTTTATCTTAAAGTTTAGGAGTTTGGATTTTAGGAGAGAGCAAGACAATCGGCATGAAAGACAAGTGTGAGAAGAAGGATGACATACTTCGTAATGAATCGGAAAAACGTTAAAAATGTGAGATGAGTTCAAACACTACTTCAACAGTTCAACGCCTCCAATATTTCGAGTTGAGGTCCACAACTTATTTTAAACCCTTCATGAATTTTAAATTCACTTCTCATTTCCTAAAAATAGAAAAATGATGAATAGCTATAAACTTTTTGTGCATTTGAATGGCTAAAACTATATGAAAGCATAAGTCATGAGTCAACGTACTAGCTAAACAAGATTCTATAAGGGATCGTTTGGTAGGGGTATAAAACAATAATGAATAGGATATATTAATAATATTGGGATTAGTAATGATGAAATTAGTTATGCAAGGATTAATTAGGTTGAAATTATTACTTATCGATTGTTTGGTTTGGTGTATTATTTCTTATATATGTTGAGCAGTTCTATCTTTATACATGCTTATTCATATATTAAAAATTATGGTATTGCTAATGTTGTGGTTTACTATGTATAAGAATAGTATTGAATAGAGGGTATAACTAATAAAAGTATTAGTTATANTATATATATCCTACCAAACGACCCCTAGTAGGATACAACAATAATTACGCTTCAATCCAAAGCAAATTGAGTTTAATTACATGAATTTTTTACTTTTTATGAAAATGTGTTTGGACATACGTTTTCAAAATATATTTCCCAGCCTTATTTTGGAAAAACATGTATATAAGTTTTGGGATTTTGGCCCAAAGTCAGCAATTGGGGTGATTTTGGGATTTGAGATTTTGCCAAAATATGGGCAAAATTTATGGCAAAATATGAGTTTGCCAAATAAATCCCAAATTTATTTTGATAAAACTCATGGCCAAACGGGTCGTTAGTTACTTGGTTTGTGTTTTCAAAATGAGGCATGAAACTTTTATATTTTCTTTTATAAAAAGAAAATCGTAACCTCAAAAGTAATTAAGAAATACTGCCGCTTTTTTTTCCTCACGTTACATTAACCTTTCCAAAATATCTAATGAAAAAAAAAACTTTGCCAGCCTTTTTAACCCTGGAATTTTACTTCCCGATGAAATATATATTATCCACCAGCCCGGTTTTTTCGCGACTTTGTTTCAGACATATTTTCTTCTGCGCAGTGCAAAAAGTCACAGCCTCCCTTCCTCCCCTATTTTACTATTCCTGTCATTATATTATGTTAGTTTATGTTTGTCTATATATTAACAGTGTAAATAGTTATTACATTATCATAAGAAAAGTTAATTTACGATAATATATAACTGTGCTTATCTAATTTGATATGGTAACTTAAAAAGAGTATTGAATCTAAAATAATCTTTTAAATTGCACAAATAATAAAGTTTTGTATTTAGTCGCATGCACTAGGCGTATAAAAAATTTTACATTATCATTTTAAATTTACATCATATATTTGATTTAATTAATAATATCAGATTATACTCTATTTTTAGGTTATCATATTACCTATGCTATGCTATTTTTGTAATATAACTTAATGTGATGGTGTAAAAACTTTATATATTGTCGATACACAAAATTTAAACTCTAACATTTTACACTACCCTAGTGTATAAATTACAGTAAACTCTTAGGGGTCCTTTGGTTAGGAAAAAAAGTTATTGCAGGATTAATTAATCCTGAATTAATTATTCCGGAATTATTATTTCATCATCTCATTAAAATAAAAATAATACTATAATTCTAGAATAATTCATTTCAAAATTAATTATACTATAATTTTAATCCAAACAAACGTAAGATAATTCATTTTAAATTTAATTTTAAAATAATTTTAATTATCCTTTATCCCTCGTACTAAACGACCCCTTAAACTACAGCCCCATGAGATTATTAAGATAATTACCAGCTCCTTTTTCTTTTTTCTTTTTTCTTTTTAAAACAATCTTTCCCTTGAAAAAATTTGTTATAGTGGTAAATGAAACCGCTATTCCCTCCTATTATATACCTCCACCTGCTCTAATCTCCTCTATTCTCTTTCTATCTTTAATCTTCTCCATTTTTCTCAAACCTCTTAACTTTTGTCCTTAACTAAATATTGCTAGTTGTTCACATCTACTGCAGCTTTAATTTCTTTGGCTTTGCTTCTCTTTATTTTGCATGCTTTTTAATCACTTCTTTTGAATCTTTTTCACAACCCCTTTTGTCCCTTCTAGTCAAAGAAGAAGTAGAATGTGTCCACACACATATATACATAAATCCAAAATAATTTGATATTTCTTGGAACTTTTTATATAAGTGGAGTTTTTGTTCTTTTTATTGGGGTTTTTGTGAACTTAAAAAGCTTTCAAATGGCTCCAGATAATAATAACTGGTTATCTTTTTCTTTGTCTTCAATGGAAATGCTCAACTCTTCTTCTTCTCAGTCTTCTAATATGCTTCAATCTGCCGACTCAAATCATTACTATTTTGCTGATAATAACTTCTTTCCCCACGGTAAACATGCAATGTTTTTCCTTTTTTCTTTATAAATCTGGTCTGCTGTGTGAGGTGGAGGGCAGGGTTTGAGCCGTGAAAATACTTGTTGCAGAAACGCAGTTTAAGATTGCATGCGTACAATAGACCCTAGTAGTCCGGTTTATCCGGCGAAAACTTTGTGAATCGAGTTGCCCTTTAAATTTGGTATTTAAAATTTATTGTCAGTTTTTCGCTCGAACTAAGACATTTGATTAAGGATAAAAGATTTGATCGATATTTCCTCACTCCCTAGTGGTGCATACCATGTTTTCTTTCAATTTTTCAGAGCTGTCAAACATTTTTGAAGATAAAGAAAAGACAAGAAAAAATATATGTTGAAATCATAAATAGAAGTTTGAATGAAGTACTTCTCCGGAATTTCTGTTTGGATGCTGAGGAATTAAAAGTAGGAAAAAGACAAGATAATTGCAACCGTGTGGTCTTAATTCGGTTACTGGCTATTTTTGTCAAAGATCTTTCATCACTCTATTAACAGAATAATAATTTCCCAAAAAATTAAAAACGCCACTTTGCTTAGCTATGATATTGTTTTTTAGTTTCCATTAATTATTCTTGCATTTAACATTTCTACTATAAAACCAGCTAAGAATTTTTTTTAGCTTAATGTGTTACCATTTTCTTTTGTAGGGTGGACGAACCAAAAATCTCAAGTAATGTATTCAGAAGGTGAAAAACAAACTATAAATGATGAGTCATTGATTTTTTATTCACAAATACACAACCAGCAACCGCCGCCGAAGCTTGAGGATTTTCTCGGCGGCGAAACGACGGAGACTCAAGATTCGTCGTTGACTCACATGTATGACCACGGTGGCTCAGTCGCCGGTGCCGGTTACTTCAACGGTGGTTTCCAAACATTTTCGGCTAACTCGGGTTCAGAAGTTGATGACTCACAGGTTATGGGTACTGAGTTTGGTACTGAGTCAAGTAACGAGTTGGATTATTCACAGTGTCCTACTGGTGCTTTGTCTTTGGCTGTTAAAACTACTACTACTACCTCGGAAAAAGCTATTGTTGCTGTTGATTCTGAGGGTTGTAAGAAAATTACTGATACTTTTGGTCAAAGGACTTCCATTTACAGAGGTGTAACAAGGTAAATTTTCCATTAACATTAGTAACGTTTGTGGGGAGGTAAAGTTGTTTCCCTATAATCTATAGGTTACGGTTAGAGCTGTGTCTGGAAGCAGCCACTAATGTTCAAGGGCGGAGGGAGAATAAAATCTTCGGTCAAATCCAGTAATTTTGGTCCAAACTAATTTATATTCAAAAATTCATTAAATATATATAAATTATTAATTTAGAACCTAATAACTTAAAATATTTGAAATTCCGAACTCATAATTTCAAATTCTTGCTCCGCCTCTATTTGCATTAGGGCAGAAGTGTCTGCATTTATTTTGTACATTGATAATGATGCTGGTAAAAATTATGCGGTAAATATTAAAAGTTGATTTGTTTTTAAGCAGACATAGATGGACAGGAAGGTACGAAGCGCATCTATGGGATAATAGCTGTAGAAGAGAGGGTCAAGCTAGAAAAGGGCGTCAAGGTAAATTTCTTTCGACGTGTAAAAAATTTACCCCTTTTGCCGTACAAAATTTACCTTGTTACGCATCTAAATTTTGCAATGAAATGGGCGACCTTATCAATCAATAAAGTGGCTAAAATCATGAGATATTAGCTAAATGATTTTTCTATTTATATTTAAGTCTTGGTAGACATTATTTACCAATGTTCTCCAGGAATTATTCATTTTCTTTACCTTATTTTTTATCTGGTAGCTAAATTATCACACCTCTTCCTCACAGAGTACACATACTCAGCTAGTCTGAAGTCTGAACTGTAGCTAGCTTCTAATTCCTCCTATTGCTTTTAACTTTTGCTTCTGTCTTTTTTTTTTGTTGCTTTTTTCTCTTTACTTTCATGGTCAAAGACGCTCTTTAGTTTGACCATTTAGGCTCCTATAATGAAAATTTATACTCCCTCCGTTCAATTTATGTAAACCCGATTGAGCACAGAGTTTAAGAAAAGAGATAAGACTTTTGAACTTCGATGTAAAGTGAGACACATATATTTTATGTGGCTATAAATCATTGTATAAAAGTAAATTGTTTCCAAATAGGGAAAGATGTCATTCTTTTTTGTACGAATTAAAAAGGAAATAGGTTCACATAAATTGAAACGAAGGGAGTAGTATTTAAATTTGTATTTTCCTATTACTACCTGCTGTGTTTTTCCTTTCGGTCATTGATTATCTTGATGTTGTAATTAGAAAAATCTTACACTGTCAATCTACTACAACAACAACACAACATACCCCGTGTAATCCCACATAGTGGGATTTGGGGAGGGTAGTGCTAGCTGCGGATGCACTATATAATTTTCGAATTCAACTGAACCTAGTACTTTCGATGCGGAGCATAAATTTATGTGTAAAAGATCACAAAAATTGCAATAAATAGTAGATACGAACTCATATCACAAAAATTCTATTGATAATATTAAAACATTTATGTTGTGTACATATCTTTAAACTCGGAGAATTTCAATGAAGTGCCCACCATTTGTTATGGATTCACAAACCTGTAGGCTTTATATAGGTAAATATGTAGTGCTGATCATATATTTAAGGTGGACCTATAAATAGTGTATTTGACAGCTCTAATAGTTTGACATCTACATGTTAGCATTTGGTAATTTTCTTAAACCTACTTGGTACTTCACTGGCTTTTGTAATTTCACATGGTATTAAGAAAAGTAATTATTTAATTAATATTTTAAGCAGTAACGCGTCTTAATTTTTTTTCCGTCATTTTAAGTGCAAAATTGAAAATTCCCCAGACATAGTTAATTATAAACATAGTGGGAACAACTTGTTTACCTTTTTCTTGGTCTGGGCAAGACATGTCACTATCTTGCTCATCCACATATAGAAATTCAAATGTTTAAAGCTTCTATGAGCATGCCTCTTGCTTTTCTTTTCTGTTTTTTCTGTGTTTTACACTTTTTATACCCTAAATTCTTGACTTATTGCCAGTTGATTTCTAATGATTATTATCTCACCTTTTTTCTTCTTCTTTTAATTGCCATGGTTCATTTCTTGCCATACTCAAAATTCTGGATTTCATCTACAGTGTACTTGGGTAAGTTGTCTCAATTTTACATCTTTTCAAAGTTTAGCACAAAATATAGATCATTAACATTTGGAATCTATAATATGAATATGATAGGTGGATATGACAAGGAGGACAAAGCAGCAAGAGCTTATGATTTAGCAGCTCTAAAATATTGGGGTCCAACAGCCACCACCAATTTTCCTGTAATATACTATGCATCTTTATCAATTTTCCTTATTTTTTATATTATCAAGTTACCTAAAAGATAATTACAAACAACTATTTCGTAGAACTAATAACTTGGAAAATGAGGAAAGGAATATTACATGCTTCGACAAGTTAAGATACACTAATTTATTAGTGTAAAAGTTCTTTATGCTTTCAGGGAACATTTGGTAGGATGTATTAGGAAAATAATACATATATTAGCTTTGGTACTATTAATCCCTTATTTTGGTAGTATTTTTCAACCCATGTATAACTAATACACCCTATTTTCTTATACATAGCAAACTATGAAATAATACATAGATAAGCTTGTATAAAGACAAAACTGCCCTTAATACACCAAATCAAACAGTCAGCAAGAAATAATCTCAGCATAACTAATCCCAACATTACTAATACCGTCTATTCAGTACTGTTCTTATATACCCACCTACCAAACGACCCGAGTGTATATAAGTCAAAGTCCATTGTTCTTATAGTCTGTTCAATTGTTGAATGGAATTATGCATAACATAACTGTGAAAATAAGTTCAACTGGGCTGATATCTTTTTCAGGTTTCCAATTATACCAAAGAATTAGAGGATATGAAGAACATGACCAAGCAAGAATTCATTGCCTCCCTAAGAAGGTGTGCAAACTTTACCATTTTCCATATTATTATCATATTGCTTCTCTATGGTATAATGTTGCTTTAATAATTTTCTCTAGCTGTCAATTATTCTCATAAAAATTTCTTCCGTGAATATCAGGAAAAGTAGTGGTTTCTCAAGAGGAGCTTCTATTTATCGGGGCGTGACAAGGTTTGAATTTTATCGAAGCAATTAAGTACTGCTCATTCGTCTTGGAATATAATATCTAATCGCGTCCTAGATAGAGTGAGATCAATATTCTTCCAGTTTCATGAGTTGTGTTGACGAACTTTTGCAGGCATCACCAACAAGGTCGTTGGCAAGCGAGAATTGGCCGTGTTGCAGGGAACAAGGATCTGTATTTAGGAACATTTGGTAACTACAATTTCCTTGATTGCACTGTTTCTTGTTTTGAAGGGGAGCCTTGGAGTAACGGTCAAGTTGTCTCCGTGTGACCTATAAGTCAAGGGTTCAATCCGTGGAATCAGCCACTGATGCTTGCATCAGGTAGGCTGCCTACATCACATCCCCTTGGGGTGTGGCCGCTCCCCGGACCTTGCGTGAACGCTGGATGCTTTATGTATCGGATTGCGCTTCTTTCAGGGTGACTTGTTTTATTCAAATGACATTTTAATTAACTTTGTCTGAATTATTGCAGCTACTGAGGAGGAAGCAGCAGAAGCATATGACATAGCAGCAATAAAATTCAGGGGAGTGAATGCAGTGACCAATTTCGAAATGAATCGATATGATGTCGAGGCCATTATGAAAAGCGCGCTCCCTATAGGCGGAGCAGCAAAGCGGTTGAAGATCTCACTCGAATCGGAGCAGAAACCATCGTTGAACAATAACTACCACCAGCAGACTCAATGCAGTAGTGTCAACAGCAGTAGCATCAATTTCGGGCCAATTAACCCTGTTTCCGCCATCCCTTGTGGAGTACCATACGATGCGAACCAACCCTTTTACCATCACAGCTTCTTCCCCCACCTCCAGTACTCCAACAACGACGGTCCTTCTGATACTTCTGGTGCGATGACTAATATGATAGCTGCAATGCCATTACTGCAATCACCGGCCGAGATCTTCATCTGGCCTCATCAGTCCTATTGATCTTGCAAGGCAAGATAAGCTCGGATAGCAACAACAACAAGAACAGACCCAGTGGATTCTCACTTGGATAAGTTCGGGTAGCGTGCTCTGCAAATTCCTTTAGGCTAATTTAAATTAACCTCTTTGCCGTCATGTATTCGTTCTAAGCTGACCCTATTTCTAACTTGCTAAAGTGTTAGCATTGGCTGAAAAATTTCATGAAAAGTTGAAGATGAATAGCTTTTGTTTTTTTACTTAATAGGTAGAAGGTGAAAATATTGTAAAGTATCTTTTCTTCAACAGCTGCAGTAGTAGATGCATGTTGACAGGTACTTAATTAGGGTTTGGGGGTACGTAGTGCACTCTTGTGGGAAAATTTTGTTTTTGTTGCTTCCTCATCTTCCCGAGTTGCTCTTAGTACAGCATATTATTTTGTTGAATTTTGTGCGGATCAAATTGACAAAAAAAGAAAAGAAATGATATATAACAGTCTTTATATTTTGGAATTGGCCATGTTATTCTTATTTGTCGCGAGAAAATGTTACATTTATTTTTTCTGCTTGCTTAGGTGAGAGGTACTAAGATGGGTGTAGGAAGTTCTCGAGTTGGATCTCTCATTTTGTTTGTTCGTTGGAATCTTATTCTGTCAAAATCTTTTGGGAGGCCTTGGTGGTGTCATATTATTTAAAATAGTTTAGAAAGCTATTCCTACAAGGAAAGGCCTCATTTCTTTCATCTTGTTGGTCTCTTTTCATATTCAAAAAAGGAAGGCCCCGCTTTAAAGCAAGTCGCCTAGGTTATTTTTAGTTTTATATAGCAGAATTCTCCTTTGACTCCATGATCGTGATTTGATCATCATTAGGTAGTGCGAAAGCACGCCTTATGGCGAAAGATGAGCATTGCGCCCGATTAAGACAACAGTCACTCGCTCTAAGCTGAGCCAGTGTTGGGGTTGGGTTGGTTGATCGCCCAAAAAATGATTCTTATCCCATCCACTTGCTGGTGTCCTTTCAGGTTAGGAACTCTTAGCTAACTTATTGGAAAGAGACTACTCTCATATCTCTCCTGGGAGTAGAGTCAGAAGAAGAGCTAAAAATTTGAGTTGAATTCAGCTCAATCTAATAGCCTACCTATTGGGCAATGGAAAGTTACATTTCTTCTGCTAATTAGTGTTTAGGGATTTTTACCTATATGTACTACATTGAAACTTATTTACCTTCATTGTTTAGGTTTTAACTTAATTACAAGTTGATATACAATTTACCAATTATATGCAAATTAGTATTAATGAGTATCCCTTTGTATTAGAAATTGAGTAGGGAATTCCCCTTTTCTCTCTCTCTCTCTTAGTATTCTTATATTAATATCTTCATGAGGAATAACTGAAGAAATAATACTAGTGTAAAGTGAAAAAAATTGAGAACATTAGTACCTAGTAAAATTCTTGCTTCAGATCCTATGAAAACGAGGAAGTAAATAAGAAAGAAATTAATTCTGATAAAGAGAATCATTATAGTTATCACTCTTTTAGCTTTTTTGAATCAATAAACAAAATAGAATTAATTAGAAGCGAGTAGATTGAATTGGAAACTATGTTAATACGTTAAAAACTCCAATGACAGCCATTAAAATGCTTCGAAGTTTGAATTCGAAAATCAATTTTACGAAATTATTTTTTGTTTGGATTGGGTGTTGTTGCAAATGATTGAGAATATCTGTTGGAGTTTATATCTCAATTTTGAGACAATTTGGTGAAGATTCGAGGTGGTTTTGGTTGAAATTTCAGATTGAAACTCGAAAAAGAATAAATAAAATGTATATAAATTGTATGTAAATTGTAGTTTTTGACCGGATTCTGTACCAAAAATGTCTATTTAAGTTGTAGATAAATTGTAGACTTTGACTGAATTTTAATGTATTTTGTAAAAAAAAAAACGTTTGTCACTTCTTGTAAATATGAAAACTTAGACAAAACCGGGTAAATAAGTTTAAAATCTTGTATATACACAAAAAAAAGTCCCATTAGTTTATGATTCCTGGCTACAGAATCCTCTTGTCATTAGTTTATTTGTAACAAGTTATAGTATGAAGTTGTTCTAAATACTGGAAAATGTTGGTCTTTATAAATAAATTTGAGCTTTTGAAATCCAAATCATAATTAACAAAAATTTCTATTTCATTTGGAACCAAGATTCGAAACTAGTCATTATCTCCAAATATAATGCAAAAAGGTTTCGAATTTTATGATTTCGTTTGTTTTTCTTTTTGTGATTTGTGGTGTATTTTCCTCCTTTTATCCCCCGGCTTCAAAAAAACGGCATGTGTTACTATTTAAAGGTCCAACAAGTTTTTCTTTGATTATTTCTTTGCAAATAGTTTTTTAAATATTTTAAATTATTTATTATTATAACTTATAGTACTTTTTATGTAGTTTCAAGGGCCGTTTCATAACAGCATCACTTTTCAAGTTGTTTTAAAGGATTTGAACCCCAAGTTTTAATTCTTTAAAATGTATATCCACTTTATGATTAGTGCTAATTAAGCTAATTTCCATTATAAAATATTAGGAACCAACCCTAAAGTTATAAAAAATACGCTTTGGTCCAACGAATAATTACTGAAAATTCTTTAAAAATGAAAAAAAAAAACAGCTGCCCCCCCCCCCCTCCACAACTCTTATCTTTTTTGAAGATTTTCTTTCGCTTTTTAAAAAAGATAAATAAAAATACCAAAATAATATGCTAATTAACCATTTCTAGGAAAATATAAAAATCACTAAAGAATAACAAATTTACTAGTTTACCAAAATTAAATGAAACATATTCTTTGTTAATTTTTTTTTTCTTTCTTTTCTTTTTTGCAAATAAAACAAGACTAGTGCATCCTAAAAATGTGATTCTTTTTTGTAGCTTTTAATTTTTCCTAATAAAACCTAGTAAACCTATTAAATATATTCTTGGGGTCAACTACCACAAAAAAAAAAAAATGGCCAAAGGTACTACAAGTTCAACGATATGTATCAAGATATATATAGTAATAGGTTCATTCTTTTTAATACGAATGGAGTAATTTCTGATTGAGAACAAGGTTAAATGAATGTCAACAATTAAAAACCTTTTTTTCCAAAATAATTCCTTCTTTTTTTTCTTATTCTTTCTTCTTTGTTAAAATGACAAGTTGTTTAGGACCAATGTATGCCACGTTATTTGCAAATTGGCAGGCTATGACTTTGGCTATGCGAAATGAGCTCTCAACCTTAAACTCATAATTAAGCATAAGGGAAGGATGGAGAACCCTTTTCACAATTATTCCAAATTTTGTCATTTCTAATTGAAGTTTCCAACAAGAAATCTTGATTTTTTTTGGTTTCAACTTTGAGTTTTTAATTGTTTTTCTCCTGTTTGAAACTCTTCCTCTTCTTTAGATATTGGTTCTTTTGTGGATAAAGAATGGAAGGATCAAGAATTGACAAGATGAAATTTTGAGTTTTTTTGTTCTCATTTCCATTTTTTATTTCTCTGTTTTTAAATTATTCTTCCTCTTCTTAAGCTATTGTTGTTTTATTTGTGGAAAAGAGGAAGGATCAAGAATTAAACAAGATGTTACAAAGAGCTGCAAGTAATGCATATTCATGGTGGGCAGCTAGCCACATTAGGACCAAGCAATCCAAATGGCTTGAACAGAGCCTTCAAGGTACAAATATTTACATGAAAAAAATCAAGGAAAATGCATTATAATAATTTTTTGGATACCACAAAATCAAAAATATTGGGGAGGTTGAAAATATTCTAGAGTATGCAATAGCATTTGGTGATGAGTACAAAGGTCAAATATGATAGGAGATCAAGGTTCAAACTCAGTCGAGAGAAAAAATGGTGATTTCTTTCTAGGAAAAATTACATTGTATAGTCGAAAAAATAATAGTCAAAAAAATGTATAAAACTTATATATTTTTTGTATATATATATACACAAACTGTATGTTATATACAAAAACTTATACAAATTTTATACACTTTTTCGGCTCCAGATATAAATAGTTTATGGCGCGGGCTAAAAGTAAATACCCCTTCTTTGTGTCTATCTAATCCTTGAGGAGTAAAGTTATCTAATATTTGTATTGGTAGGAGGTAACATGTTCTCAATAGTACAGTCGATATGCACATAAAATTATTGGCTCGAACACCACCACAATAAAAAGAACCACAAAAAAGGAGAGAATATCATACATGTGTCTTTATGTACTATGCTTGGATTTCAGCCCACAATAAGGCTAAGATCTTTTAACCGGAAATAGTTACCTAATACTAAAATTTGGTGAAATTAATACTCACTTCATGCACTTTTACTTGTCCATTATACTAAAAAGGATATCAACTTTATTTATCCATTTTGAGAAAAGAAGAATAATTTACTATTTTATACCTATTTTACCCTTATTATTAAGTAATACTAATCATTTTCAATTTATTTCTCAACATATTATAATTAGGGGTGATATAGTAAAATTATAATTCTATTAATTGCTTCTTAAGGAATGTGCCAAGTCAGACAAGTAAAAATAGACGGAGGAAGTATTATGCAATAAATGTCCAATTTCCTCTTTTCTTATATAGTGATGCATGTCTTGTTCCACTTTCACTCAATTTCAAACCCGGAAGAAATCCCCTAAGATAAATAATTATGAAAACTATATTGCATCCCCTTTAGGAGAAGGTGGAGTAAGTGTATATTTGTCTCTTGTGTGCCCTCTACTACATTGTTCATGTGCAAAGTTTGATATGTCCTCTCTTGCTTATTTCAACAACAACAACGATCCAGTAAAATCTCACAAGTGAGGTCTGGGGAGAATAGTGTGTACGCAGGCCTTCCCTCTCTTGCTTATTTAGTTTGTTATATTTCTCTTGCTTATATACAAGTGTTTCTCCTGTTGAGTATGAAAAACAAGTCTGATATATTTATATGGCATAAATAGATATGCAAGAGAAGGTGGAAAGTGTGGTTAAGCTCATTGAAGAGGATGGAGATTCATTTGCAAAAAGGGCAGAAATGTACTACAAGAAAAGGCCAGAGCTGATCAACTTTGTGGAAGAATCATATCGTGCTTATCGCGCTTTGGCTGAACGATATGACCATTTATCAAAGGAATTACAGGCTGCTAACACCACCATTGCTGCTGTTTTCCCTGAACAAATTCAACTAGCAATGGAGGAGGAGGACGAATATGGCGCCCCGAAAATACCATTGAGTTCCTCACAAATTCCAACATCAAGTGGATCAAATGTACCTAAGGTTCCAAAGGCTCCAATAAAACAGTTGAAAGGTCTAATAACAACAGCTTCAAAGAAATTACAAGGCAAGAAATCATCCAAAAAAGAAGATGCAAGTAAAAATGTCCCAAAATCAGGTTTAACCAAGAGTGAAGCTCTTGAAGAAATCGACAAGCTTCAAAAGGATATTTTGGCTTTGCAAACTGTGAAAGAGTTTGTAAAGAGTTCATATGAAAGTGGTCTAGCAAAGTATAAGGGAATTGAAAGCCAAATCATGGAAAAGCAACAAAAGATATGTAAACTTGAGGATGAATTTGGTGAGGGTCCGGTTATTGAGGATAATGATGCCCGTACGTTGATGGCTGAAGCAGCACTAAAATCATGTCAAGAAACATTGGCTCAGCTCCAGGAGAAACAAGAAAGATCAACAAGAGAAGCAAGCAAGGAATTCGAAAAGATTGAAAATGCTAGTAAGAAACTGAAGTCTCTCGAGCATAAGTATATTGGTGATCAGATCGACGAAACAAAGGCACCTGAAAAAGATGAGACTGCTAAAGCAACAGCTGAATCTCAGAGCCTAAGCCAAGAATTAAGCAAGGAGATCGAGTCATTGCAGGAAAAGATTAAGGAGCAATTCGATACAAGCTCTATGTCATCTCTAACAGTGACACAACTGGCAGAGAAGATCGACGAGCTTGTGAATGAAGTAGTCAGCCTTGAAACAGCAGTTTCAGCTCAAACTGTTTTAATCGACAGATTAAGATCAGAAGCCGATGACCTCCAATCACAAATTCAGATTTTGGAAGAGGATAAGGCAGCTCCTACAGAGGATAATAAACACAATCTGAAAATCAGCATGGTAGCATTGGAGGATAAGTTGCATGGTATCCGAAACCTGAACCAAGATGTTGCTTATCAAAACAGTAGCTTTCAAACTTACTTTGACACAGCCCGTACGAGTCTTGACTATTTAGCTGAGAAATTGAATAGTGTGAAACCAGATGAGGAGCTCCAAGACGAAGAGGAATCCGTTGTTAAAATCAAGTCTCAAGAAGATCCAGCAAAACAGCAAGTTCAACAAAGTGCAAGTGAAGCTCCCAAGAACTTAAGTACCCCGAAAACAGAAGATAAAGAAGTTAGAAAAGAAGTATCTCCTAGCACAATTGTCAGTAATAAAGAAGGGGAAGGTATAGAATCTCAAGTTGAAAAAGCTGATGAGAAAGTCTCAACTCAATCAGAAAATGCTGCTCATGAGATACAACCACATGAAAACGAGGAGAAGGGCGACGAGCCTAACTGGCAGCAGCTGCTGTCAAGCCAGTTGGAGGATAGGGAAAAGACTCTCTTAGCAGAATATACAACGGTTCTCAGGAATTATAAGGAAGTCAAGAGGAAGCTTAGCGACAAGGAGAAGAAAGATAGGGACACTGAATTCGAAGTCACACTGCAGATGAGAGAACTTAAAAGTGCTGTTGCAAAGAGGGATGAAGAGATAAATAACCTACGCGGGAAGTTGGACCTTCTACAAGGAAATGTTAACGAAAGCAAAGAATTGAAGGAAGAAGATCAGCAAGCATCTGAGCCCAAGGATGTTCAAGAAATAGAAGACAAAGATAATCATAATGATAATGCAAAGATGATTATGGTTGATCAACATGCATCTCTCTCGCCTATTGAGGAAAAGTTCCGGATGGATATTGATGCTATAATGGACGGAAACTTGGACTTCTGGCTAAGATTCAGTTCAACATTTCATCAGATACAAAAATTCAAGACAACAGTCCAAGATTTACAGAGTGAAATATCAAAACTAAGAGACAAAGAGACAGAAGAGAACAACACCAAAACAGATATGAAATCAGAAATCAGGCCTATATATAAACACATGAGGGAAATTCAAAATGAGCTAGCAGTGTGGTTAGAACAAAGTGTGTCATTGAAAGATGAAATGAAACGTAGGTCCTCGTCGTTGTGCAGTATTCAGGAGGAAATTACAAAAGCATTAAAGGAAGGAGCTGAAGAAGATGAGATCAGATTTAGTAGTCATCAAGCTGCAAAGTTCCAAGGTGAAGTCTTGAATATGAAACAAGATAACAAGAAGGTAAGAGAGGAACTAGAAAGTGGTGTAGATCATATAACTACACTTCAAGAAGATGTTGAAAAGACGGTGACAAAGTTAGAGCAAGAGTTTGGACTTGCTGCTGGAAATCAACAACAAGCTAATAACTCAACTAGCGGATCATCAATTCCTTTAAGATCATTCATCTTTGGAACTAAACCAAAGAAGCAGAGGCGTTCGGTCTTTTCCACCTTCCAAAACAATAGGAAAGCCCTGTGGGCAGGGACACCTTTGTAGATCTTGTTTTTTCATCTTCCCTTTACTTTTATTTAATTTTTGGTCTCATTCTTTCCCATTTTCTTGTTTGTTCATATTTGGGAAGTTTTTCGAGATTGTATGTATGTCATGTTGTATTGATGGTGTAAAAAGGTAAAAAAAAATTTCCTGCAGCTTTCTTCAGTTGCCTATGTTGCATGTCATTAGTTCTGTGAACTAAGGTTGCAGCATCAAAATTTTTAGTTGAAACTGAGAGTCAGTCTACTAGCTACCCTCTTAATAAGTATGTAGCCGTTCAAATTTTTGTAAACTATCAGAGACTACACCAATTACCATTTTTCTTTTTCTTCTTTTTTGTTCTTCCAGTCTCTTTTACACTACCAACTTTCCTTCAACCTTTATTTAGAATATAGGTTGATGAATTCAATTGGATTTGTTCATAATTCTTTGTGATTTTAATTAGTTAAAGTGCATTTTTTTTCTGATTTGATTATGGCTCCAAAATTGTAATGGCTTGCAAATTTGCCTTGAATATTTGTGGAGTACTAATTTTAAAACGACATAAATCGAAGACATTAAACACATAAAAAATAAAAATTAGCATAAAGGTAGACGATCTGAAGGAAAGTATATCGAAATTGACCTATGCTTTATCACCGACTTATCTGATAAAAGCGCACTTTACTCAACAATAAAAAGTTTAAGAACTTATTGAAAGGAACTAATTTCAGTTCGTTGATCGATTTGGTTATCTATATATATCAAAAGTTTATTATACCGAACTGAATTAAACTGATCTAATTGACCAAGTATTTTCCTTCTCTCCCTGACCTGTGAAATAAGATTGAGCCCATGTTCTTCTCAAGTGGTAGACGTATATCAATTTTTGGCAAGAGGGTCTATTCTAGTCCAAACAATTGCTCATCAATTCATTATATTGAGCAATGTGCACCTAAATAACTGCTCTAATCCCATCAAACTCTAATAAAGTAGTACCTCCAACCTTGTTTACACCTCAAACTTCCTCCACGTAGGAATCTTATTTATATAATAATCGCGTGATTATAATCAACATACTTTATGATAATATTTCATGACTGCATTTGTAGAATCAACTTCATCAATCAAACTTGGTAAGGCCTATTGCACCAATTGTGTCCAGATAGGATACTGCTGCTGATCAGCAACTTCATCAGAATATCTATCATTTATGATGGTCAACAAATTTGCGCTAGATCTATCATATTATTATCAATAGCTCTCCTTGATCTGCCTCTAAAAGGATTGACCTTTTAGAATTTTCTTGATTGATCTTCTAAAAGGTCAATCAAGAAAATTTCCATTCACTAGCTGTCATTTGGTATTTTATGATCATTTCTACCACAACCAAAGGAAACACACTCTTTACAGCAATTCATTTCAGCGGTTCAGGAAACTGCTAAACATAGTAAAATATCTCTGGCCTAAGATGCTCTCTGTATAATGGTCATGACAGGACTAATACCAAATTGTAATACATATTGCGCAAGAACAGTAATTCTCGTGTGGTAACATAAATATATCTATAGATAAAGGGGTCAGCCTTTAATTTTAACACTGGAGGCACGAAAGCTAACCTAATATCAGCAAATATACTGTAAAGGCACACTCAACCCTGGCACATGCAATCGGGAGCAGGATACGTATACAGAGATTGATTAGGTTTGCGAAGTCTGATCTGCCCTTTTCGGTTCTTGTGTCCTTCCACAACTGCCTCTTTGAACTCTGGCCAACTCAGGGTTTTATTCAGGAAAAGCTGGCCTAATAAGGCCATCTTAGGCCTTATTGTCTTCAGATTATAGTACGTTCGATGCCCCACCTGTTGATTTCAAGTTGATTAGCCGGTGCATATTGGATTCAAATAAATATCAAACAAGATTCGTGTTGTGGATATAAAGTCCAAGGGGATCTGAGCTACGTGATAATCAAATAGGATATCCTTATAGAGATTCTAGTCTTTCCAACGAAAATGAAAAAACTCAAATGACTAGACCTAATATTATGAAGTAAATTCTGAAAAGCAGTACAGCAGCTAAATTGCAACTCAATAATTAGAAGTGCAGGTGATTACCATTGCATTGTGCATATTTCCTGGGGACGCGGAAATGAAAATATCACTGTGCATGCTGACATAATAATCAACCGCAGCCAGTAAGGAAGCCTTCCCTTTAGTAAGAGCTCTTTCATCTGAAGAAGCAAGGCTCTTTTTGTCTTCCATCAGTGGAAACAAACTTCTCAGGGTTGAGATACGAGCTTCCCCACCATAAACCTGGAAACATTGACATAGAAAGAGTAATTTTAGAAAACAAAAGTATAGGCTTAAGATAATCTTGCACCTCAAACAGCACGGAAAATTTTGAGAAGTAGAACAAATAGAGAGCGAAGTGGCGACCTTATGGGAGGCAAGATATAACCGAGTGCTGTTGTCAAATCCCAAAGCTGCCAGCAGTAATCCAATTTCTTCTGGGGTCAACGGGCACCGTCCTTGACTTCTCAACTCTTCATCAGTAAATTGAGAGTTTAGGACTCTTCCCTGCCAGATCACTTGCCTGTATTTGGCTAATGCCAGTTTTTCAGCCTTTCCACCACCAAAATCACACGCTGAATGTGCAGCCATATCCTGGAAAGATAACAAGGTTACATTGTGGACAGAGGGCAAGATTTGAAAGCTCATAACTAAACAATGTAATAACGGGAAAAAAATAAGTGGATCAGAGAAGGACATATGATATTCACTTTAACAGGTTTCAAGGACAACAAACTCTATCTGGAAATGATAAGACTAGTTATTTGATCAGGAGATACTGCAGGATCCGCAAGTTAAAACTTCCAATTAACTACAGGCAGATAATCATTTAATGCAAGGAGCAGAATTTTTACTATAATCCCGATAACTAACTGACCAAAGAAGAGTGTTTACCTTGTCAAAGCGAAGGTGAAGAACAACAAACTTCCCTGCTCCTTGTTTGTACTTCTCACTAACCTCTCTAAGGTAGTTACGACCAACCATATTGCCTTTGGAAGAAGGATCTCTGAGGCGATTGATAAGGACATCTCCAAGATTTCTTACGTGAGGAACAAATACTAATGCTTGAAAGTTTACTTTACATCGAAGGTGTTGGAGGTACTTAGGCAAGTTGTCAAATGTCAATCGGTGAGAAAATGGTGCTATGGCAGCAATCCCATAACTGAATCATTCAGAAAAAGAAAATTTATTTTAATGAGCGACTTCAAAATTCTAGCCAAAAGCCATGAATACAGAATAGCTATATGTTCAGAAGAAACATGTTTATACTAAGAAATAAATCAAACACAGGCACTATTTGCCAAATTGCTCATGTAAACTTTACATAAGGTCACAATCCGGGTCATAATAACTAACTAAAGTAACTCACATGAAGGAAATATGCAACCATCTGTTCTTAGGTATTATAACTGAAAGGCATTGCGTCTAGCATGACAAAAAATATAAGTGCAGCTAGTGCTATGTTGTAGTAGAATTTTAGAAGCTTTTTTTCTGAAAATCCAAAAACTCTTGAATACTTCCGGTATGTAGAAATTATACTTTTGGCAATTAGTGTCATATCTAGCATGTCAAAAACAATACAAATGCTAATGCTAGATTGTAGACCTTGTGAAGCATTTTTTTATTAACTCAAAAGCATTGCAAATACTCTTAAGTAATTAGACCTTCTACTTTTGATTTGTTATCCTGCTTTATTGAGAAATTGAACTCATAGGTAGCTATCAAATAAATTCAACAGAACATTTTTAATACAAAAATCAATCTTGTGACCTACCTCTGCAGGACAGGCAATACATTGTCCAAATACCAGTTTGTCGAAGCATGAACTGGTGCTGTCTTGATTCTGGTATGTCGAACAGCAGTTGCATAATACTCTCGTGTGCTCCAAGAGAATTCATCGGGCAGCTCTTTAACTATTACTATATCGTCTTTCAATACATTGATGAAATGACCGACATCAAAGATATCCTTGAATGTACTGCAGGAAGTAGCAGATAACTTGTATTATGTACTTGTGGAAGGATGCAGGTACCCAGTGGAATAGCCGAGGTGAGTGCAAGGTGGCCGGGACACCACCGTTATTAAGGAAAAAACCTTGTATTATGTATTTAAAAAACGAAAATAAATAATCAATGTAGCAATATATTACAACCTTGAATCTTGCCAAACAGGATTTACTTCCAAATGAGGGATCACTAGTGTAGCATTCAGGATCTTGGCAACAACAACTGCATCACAGATCTTGTTCAAGAAGTACACATGTTAGTAATCATCTTATAACACTTGTTAAGAAACGGTATCCATGGCACAAACATTCCTATAATAAGCATTTCTCATATATATTGCCCCCATAAACAGAGAACACTTATGATACGCACCGCCATCCTTTGTTGATTTAATCCTCCATCAAGGAACACTTGAATATATCCTTCAGATTTTTCAGGTAGTGCTGCATATGTTTAAGTAACAGTGAATCAGAAATAAAAGAGTAAATGAAATATCACGTTGATGCTACGAAATGAAAGAATGCTGCACAGAGATCCTTGAAACGACACATGAAAGTTGAAGTGCGTTAGAACTGATCCAGAGACACTCACTAGAGGCGATGACAGATTCACTACAGGGTTTCCATCCTTGGTAGGGCAAAGGCATCCATAGGTCAGACTGTTCTTCAGATGACTAAATGGAAAAGAAGAACCCAATAAGAGATCCTTCTACCATTCTCTGGGCAACATGAGTAAAATTTGGAGGAACAAATGAATGCAACGAATAGTCTTACGCACAGTTTGGCGTTGTAGAGCACTCTTCAGAAGACGTGAGTGCCTGGGTTTTGGAGCATTCCATTCCTGCGGATGCAAACTGGATTACGGATATAAATTTTGCCTCAAGAATCGAACTTTGATAGATGGTGCAAGTAAAATCCTGTAGTGACAACCAAAAGTATGTACTTGCAGGCACAAATTGACTGTATTCCCAAGTTGTCAAAGTTTTATTCAATGCAGATAAGGAATTAAGAGAAAGGAATCTACTTTTCACATAGGCTGTTTATGTTGCGGAAGCCAAATGTATATAGTGTGAATAAGTCACAACTACTATACCAAAATTATGACAGCCACCAAATAATAAATAAGACAATAAAGCAACAATAAAGGGAACACCAGAATTTACGAGGTTCGGCTAATTTTGCCTACTCCTCGGACACAACCAAAAATTTTATTTCACTCCAAAAATACAAGTGAAATAATACTAAAGAGAGAAGATACAAATGCCTTAAACAGATGAGAAGGCAAATGAGAGGTGTGTTTCAATCCTAAACATTAGGCCTTCTTTTATAGGGGAAAAATCCCCCCCAAACTTAACTCCCAACCAATGTGGGACTTTGGCATTTTGCCAAACTTCAACAAATCTCCACCTTGGCAAAATTCCACATTTTCAATTCTCTCTCAATAACAAATTTTGGTTGTGTCTTCATCTTCAATCTTCAGTGTTCAACAATGTTGATCAAATCCAAACAATGTTGAAACTTGACCGCAGTCACCACCTTTGTCAGCATATCAGCAGGATTCTCTGTAGTATGAATTTTCTTCACCGTGACTCCACCTTCTTCTATGATTTCTCGTACGAAATGATACCGAACATCAATGTGCTTCGTCCTTGCATGATAAACTTGGTTCTTCGCTAATTGAATAGCACTTTGACTATCACAAAAAATTGTGATACCTTTTTGTTCAACACCAAGCTCCTTTAGCAATCCTTGAAGCCAAATTGCCTCTTTCACAGCATCTGTAATAGCCATGTACTCTGCCTCTGTTGTAGACAAAGCAACTGTTGACTGCAAAGTAGACTTCCAACTAACTGGTGCCTTTGCAAAAGTAAACACATAACCAGTAGTTGATCTTCGTTTGTCCATATCACCCGCAAAATCTGAGTCACAATATCCAACTACAGACTGATTGTCTTCCTGCTCAAAAACTAACCCGACATCTACAGTATTATGAATATACCGTAGAATCCACTTCACAGCTTGCCAATGCTCCTTCCCTGGATTGTGCATATATCTGCTAATAACTCCAACAGCTTGTGAAATGTCAGGCCTTGTGCAAACCATTGCATACATCAAGCTACCAACAACATTTGCGTATGGTACCTTTGACATATACTCTCGTTCAGCTTCATCCATTGGCGACATAGTAGTACTTAGCTTAAAATGGGAAGCAAGTGGAGTACTAACTGGCTTAGTCTTGTCATCTATGCCAAAACGTTGAAGTACTCTCTTCAAATATTCCTTTTGAGATAAACAGAGTTTCTTTGAACGTCTATCTCTAATTATCTCCATGCCAAGAATTTTCTTTGCCTCACCCAAATCCTTCATCTCGAACTCCTTCTTCAGTTGAATCTTCAACTTATCAATTTCTTCCGAATTCTTGGAAGCTATCAACATATCATCAACATATAGGAGAAGATATACAAAGGAACCATCTTTAAGCTTGTGCAAATACACACAATGATCGTATTTGCTTCTCTTGTACCCTTGCCGCAACATAAACTCGTCAAATCGCTTGTACCATTGTCTAGAAGATTGTTTCAATCCGTACAACGATTTTTCAAGTTTGCACACCATATTTTCTTTTCCAGCAACTTTGAATCCTTCTGGCTGAGTCATGTAGATTTCCTCCTCCAAGTTTCCATGTAAAAACGCAGTTTTTACATCCATCTGAACTAGTTCCAAATCCAATTGTGCTACCAAAGCCAACATAATTCTAATGGAGGAATGTTTTACAACTGGAGAAAACACTTCATTGTAATCAATTCCCTCCTTTTGAGCATATCCTTTGGCCACCAATCTTGCTTTGTAGCGAACATCTACTTGGTTAGGAAATCCTTCCTTCTTTGCAAATACCCATTTGCACCCAATTGCTTTCTTTCCCTTCGGGAGATTGGCCAATCTCCATGTATGATTCTGATGAAGGGACTGTATTTCATCATTCATGGCAATCCTCCACTTATCTTCTTCTGAACTTTGGACAGCGTCTTTATAAGTAGTAGGAACATCATCAGCTACAATTGAGGTTGCACAAGCAACCGTCTCTATGAGACGAACAGGTTTCGTTATTGTTCTTTTTGGCCTGCTGGTTGCTATTGATTCAAGTTGTTGTTGAGATTCCTGAGTTGGAATCTCCTCTACTGGCTCTCCTTCCAGAGGGTAATCTTCATTTGTTTCCTCCTCTGCTTCTTGTGTAGGAAAAATAAATTTTCCCTCAAACTCCACCTGCTTAGAAGCACCTTCATTTTGTTTGGTATCTTCTGTTACCTTATTTACCATAGCAAATTCATCAAAGGTAACATCTCTGCTGAATATTACTTTCTTTGTCATAGGACACCATAAGCGATATCCTTTGACTCCAGAAGTAATTCCCATAAAAATAGCCTTCTTTGCCCTTGGATCCAATTTTGACTCCGTCACATGATAATATGCAGTTGAGCCAAACACGTGCAAAGAGTTATAATCTACAGCAGGTTTTCCGTACCATTTTTCAAATGGTGTTTTGCCATCAATAGCAGCAGATGGTAGACGATTAATGAGGTGGCATGCATATGTAATTGCCTCAGCCCAAAATTCTTTGCCCAAGCCAGCATTGGACAACATACACCGTACCTTCTCCAGCAAGGTCCGGTTCATACGTTCTGCCACTCCATTCTGTTGTGGTGTATGTCTAACAGTGAAGTGTCGGACGATGCCATCATTTTCACAGACCTTATTGAAATGATCATTTTTGTATTCACCTCCATTGTCTGTGCGAATACACTTGATCCTCCTGCCTGTTTGATTCTCCACCATCGTCTTCCATTTGAGAAAAATTCCCAGCACTTCATCTTTGTTTTTCATTGTATACACCCACACTCTTCGAGAAAAATCATCAACAAAGGTTACAAAATAGTGCTTCCCACCCAATGAAGGTGTTTTGGAAGGACCCCAAACATCAGAGTGTACATAATCCAAAATGCCTTTAGTATTATGGATCGCTGTACCAAATTTAACCCTTGTCTGTTTCCCTTTGACACAATGCTCACAAAACTCCAAGTTGCAAGCCTTTACTCCTTTTAACAATCCTTGATCTGATAGAGTTTTCAAGGATTTTCCTCCAGCATGTCCCAAGCGCATGTGCCATAGCTTGGTTGCTTCTGCCTCTTTGTCGTCACTGGATGTCACTGTCGCTGTCCCAATAACTGTACTGCCACGATAGCGGTACATATTATTATTCTTCCGATTAGCCTTCATTACCACTAGTGCACCGGAGCATACTCTCATCACTCCATTTTCTGCAATGATTTTGAACCCTTTTGATTCTAGGGCTCCCACAGAGATGAGATTCTTCTTCAAATCCGGTACATATCGAACATCTATCAATGTTCTGATCATTCCATCATGGTTCCTTAATCGTATTGAACCAATGCCATATGAGGTAAGAGGGCTGTTATCCGCTGTGTGGATGACTCCATATTCTCCTTCTTGAAATTCCACGAACCAGTCCCTGTTGGGACACATATGATAGCTACAAGCCGAGTCCATCAACCATATGTCTGATGATGTTGATGACTCTGTTGTAACTAATGAGAAGTCTGAATCATCACAATCAGCTACATTTGAATCCATAATGGCCTTTCCATTGTTATGTTTGGCCTTATTCTTCAACTTCGGACAGTCTTTCTTCCAGTGCCCTTTTTCTCGACAAAAGGCACATTCATCTTTGCTGGGTCTGGATCTTGACTTGGATCTTCCCTTCTTTGTCCTCGTTTGATTTTGAGGACGACCCCTCACAAATAGTGCTTCTCCTTCTCCGCCCTTCTGTTTTTCTCGCTTTCTTTGTTCATAGCTGTACAAAGCCGAACAAACTTCTCTGAGAGAAACTTCGTCATTTCCATGGAGTAGAGTAGTTTCAAGGTGCTCGTACTCATCAGGAAGTGACGCCAACAACATCAAGGCCAAGTCACCATCATCATAAGTTGTATCCATATTTTGCAAATCTGTGACCAACTTATTGAAACTGGTGATATGTTCATTCATCGTGGTACCAGGAACATAGGTGAAGTGAAACAGTCTCTTCTTCATGTACAATTTATTTTGACTGTTTTTCTTCAAAAATTTATCCTCCAGTGCTTTCCATAATTTACTTGCAGAAGTTTCCTTTGTGTATGGATATTTCTGCTCTCTAGCAAGGTAGGATCGAATGGTACCGCAAGCAACACGGTTGATAATTCTCCAATCTTCTTCTCCAATAACATCTGGTTTCTTTTCTTCAATGGCCAGATCTAGCCCTTGTTGAAAAAGGACATCTAGAACCTCGCCTTGCCACATCCCAAAATGTCCGGACCCGTCAAATATTTCTACCGCAAATTTCGCATTTGACACAATTCTTGTCATAAGCGAAGATGCCAATGATGACGTATTGTTGACACTTGATGTAGATTCTTCTTGTTTATTGTCTCCCATCTTTGACACAAATATTATTTAATAGCTGACGACACAAATCAAGATTATTTCCTTTCTGGTGTGGAAGATCAGACTAAGCTGCAACCACAGAGCATACTCAGACAGAACCTTGACTCAGTTACCAAGATAAATCTTTTCTGATGTGGAAGATCAGACTATGCTGCAACCACAGAGCATACTTAGACAGTACCTTGGCTCTGATACCAATTGTTGCGGAAGCCAAATGTATATAGTGTGAATAAGTCACAACTACTATACCAAAAATTATGACAGCCACCAAATAATAAATAAGACAATAAAGCAACAATAAAGGGAACACCAGAATTTACGAGGTTCGGCTAATTTTGCCTACTCCTCGGACACAACCAATATTTTATTTCACTCCAAAAATACAAGTGAAATAATACTAAAGAGAGAAGATACAAATGCCTTAAACAGATGAGAAGGCAAATGAGAGGTGTGTTTCAATCCTAAACATTAGGCCTTCTTTTATAGGGAAAAAATCCCCCCCAAACTTAACTCCCAACCAATGTGGGACTTTGGCATTTTGCCAAACTTCAACAGTTTACTCCTTATCTGCATCGTCTCTTGTTCTACTAGAGTTCCGTTCTCTTAGTAGTCAGAAACTACTCATTGCGCTGGCAATATCACGTTCTCTTAGCTAGAAATGCTGCCTTGTTAGGTTCCTTTCAGAAGAGTTATGCAGACCTAAACCTATTGTTGCTTTACCATTTTTGCAGAATTGACGCTCCAGGCAGGAAACCACGTGATATTTTATTTCTACTGATGTATAGCATTATCTAGCTTCATCTTATATAGTTCAAAACGTGGACGAAGGCAGAAATTAGAAAACATTGAACAGTGATTAGTAGTTTTTGTTTGGTGAATCATGTCAGCAACTGTTAGAATGACAAACAATAGTTTACTCTTTTCTGGGTTAAGAAGTGTGCATTTCCAGAAAATTATGCAAAACCTAAGTAATTGTGGCTTTCTTCAATTCGAACAGGAGTATGGTGAACTTACTTAAATGCTATACCTCACTGTGAACAACATCTAAGACAGTATTTATCTGACCAAACGACTGTCTTTTATTTTAACAACTAATGATGATCGAGCCAACAACTCCAACTTAGAGAACTCATATTTTACGGCGGACTAAACAATTCTTCTCTATGGTTCTACAGTTAGACAGACTGGCATTGTGCATTCCTAATTACCAGACAAATACCATCTTCATGCACAGAATAAGAAGATGGCGTATAAATGGTCCAAGCCAACGTATCCAACTTAACAAACCCTTCTTTATAAAAGAAAAGACAAGTTTGTAAAACAATGCCAGATTCCAAGATTATGACATAACAATATTTCTTCTGCCAGTTTCTTAGGGGTTAAAACTGAAAGATACTGCTAGGCATCAAGCAAATCTACCGAACAAAAATCATCAGTCATTCATATGCAAGACACTAAACCGGAAGTTTCTACATTGCCGAATCCAAATATTTCCGGATTATCCTTACTTCTGAAGCTTTGTAAGTTTGACTCGCTAAAATTTTTTGATTTGCACCGGGTGTCCGAGTCTCTTCGAGCCCCGACTATTCCCGGGGGTGCACAGGCCCTCGGCAAGGAATTTCCCGCAAGTGCACCACGGTTAATTCAGGTTTTACCCAGTCCGATGGCCCTCAGAAATTGTTTGCACCCAGTGGGTTTCGAACTTGAGACCTTGAAAGGGAGCAAACCCCAAGGCTCAAGTCAATTGCCGCCAGGCCAACCCCCGAGGGTACTATAGTTTGACTCGCTAAAATTGACTAGCACACTTTCTGGTTTCAACATCACTGTTCATCCAACCACTTCCCCTTCTACACCCAAAGATTAAATGTGACACACCTAGTTTTTACAATTTAACCCTTTCAATTGATCCTCCAAAGAATCTTATCTTACTCAGATACCATTTTCACTTCAAATATGGTACTATATTTTATGCTTTTCCGCTTTTCTATCCATCCCCAGGAATCAGTTTGCTTTATTCCCAACATACCTTAATGAAGCCAAAAGGTGAAAAAGAAAACAGCACAACGTAGAAGGAAAAAGGACATTGAAGAGAGAGCACAATTAAAGATTGATATATGGGCATTTGCACCAACACAAAAAAAAACATCACAATAACAACACTTCAATCCCAAACTTCTACGAGTAAGCCGTACTAACGCTCAGTATCTTTTCCTTTTTCTTTTTTGGCGTAACTGAGAAATTCTGAGCATCTATAGGTTACGGGTTCGAGTTGTCTCCGTGTGACCTATAGGTCACGAGTTCGAGCCATGGAAGCTGCCACTTTTGCTTGCGTTGGTATAAGCTGCTTACATTACACCCCTTGGAGTGCGGCCCGGTAAGCTGCTTAAATTACACCCCTTGAAGTGCGGCCCTTCCGTGAACCCTGTACGAACGCGGGATGCCTTGTGCACGGAGTTGCCCTTTTGGAGAAATTCCTAGGATCAGCTTGCGCACGATTCGAAACTTGGGTCACCCTTCTCCACTTAAAACTAGCTTTTTGTCCGCGGCAGGGTTCAGACTCGTGACATGCACACCTACACATCCACCACTAGCTCTCAGACGGGAGTCAATTGACACTCCTTTGCGAAAAAATTGCACAATGTGGATAGGTTAATATTTTTATTTTTATGCATATACGATATGTTGAACCCCGGTTTTTTTTTTGTTGTGTTTACTTTTTTTATATTTTGAATCGAAAACATGGCTCCGCCACTGAACCAAAGTCTTCAGGGCAGCAATTCTCACTATTTATTCTGTTCCATTTAGACTTGTTTCATTACAATACTCGGTAATTTGTCTAACACAATAGGTTCCATACATTTTATAGTGACATAAAGGCAGAAAAATTACAGAGTGAGATACAACAGGAAACATACCGAGAAAATGGAAGGCGAGGCATGGCTCAAAGGAGTGAAAAGACTGGGAAAGAAAATGGGCAAAAGTAGCAGAAAAACACCAGCCATTGTCCCACTTCTATGGCTGCTGCGATGATAGAGCCTCATACTTTGGCTGTGAAGCCGCTTTAACAGCAGTATTCGCTCAACCCCTGATCAATAACAGTAGAATCTAATCTAATGAATAACAGATTTTTCCAAAAAGCCTTGATTTTGGAGGAATATATATAATTAAAAGGGGAGACATTATGATTATTCGCCATGTCACGGGTGCACCCTTCTCCATATATATCAAGTACATATACTTAGCATATAAAACCAATTCGTACATTGTAGAGAAAATCAAGAGATAATAATTCGATTAGTAGTAGTACTCACTCTAGCCCATTTTACATGACATACTATTTTTTAAATCTGTTTAGAAATAATTTAATTTTTAATTTTTCGATAATAATTCATAGCCATATAAATGTCAATGAGATGTTTAGACCTAAAGTTTAAAAAGTCACTTCATTTTCAATCAAATATTGTCATTTAAATTGGGATGATTTATGAATTCGAATCAATCTAATAGTCAAAGGCTGATGTAACCAGGAGCGGAGCTAAAATTGTAAAAATGGCCTGGGATAGTTACTTTTTAACATGATATTTAGTTTTTATCCAGTATTTTTAATGTTGAGTAAAAATAATCACTACTATATTAAAATTAGTATCCAAAGATGGTTTTACCCTTTTTCATGAGTGTTGTGTAAATATTAAGGACATGGTGTCCTTAACATTTACACTGCATATATGAAGTTAAGGACATGATGTCCTAAAGTTTAACAAAGAAAGGTGTAAATACATGACACTTTGTCCTTAATATTTACACAACATTTATGAAGTTAAGGAATATTTACACAATATTCATAAAGTTAAGGACACTATGTCCTTAATATTTACACAGCACACGTGAAGTTAACGACACCATGCCCTTAACATTTACATTACACATATGAAGTTAAGGACATGAGGCCCTTCAGTTTAACAATAGAAGGTGCAAATACAAGTTAAGGACATTATGTCCTTAACATTTACACTGCACACATGAAGTTAAGGACGTCGTGTCCTTAATATTTACACTGCACGTACGAAGTTAAGGACATGAGGCCCTTCAGTTTAACAATAGAAGGTGCAAATACAAGTTAAGGACATTATGTCCTTAACATTTACACTGCACACATGAAGTTAAGGACGTCGTGTCCTTAATATTTACACTGCACGTACGAAGTTAAGGACATGATGTCCTAGAATTTAACAACGGAAGGTGCAAATATAGGACACTTTGTCCTTAATATTTACACAGCATTCATGAAGTTAAGGACGTCGTGTCCTTAATATTTACACTGCACGTACGAAGTTAAGGACATGATGTCCTAGAATTTAACAACGGAAGGTGCAAATATAGGACACTTTGTCCTTAATATTTACACAGCATTCATGAAGTTAAGGACACCATGTCCTTAATATTTTCACAACACTCATGTCTAGCACAGGGGGGATTTTCGTCCGGGCGGATAAAATTTATTAAGCACTGGCTAAAGAGTAAATACATTTTAAACAGTGGCTAAAAAATAAAAACATCTCTAATTAGTGGCTAACTGTGCACTTCTCTCGCTAGAAATTTTAACCTTATGGGTTCTACATTTTAGAAAGACGATTTCAAGTGTTAGTGATTGGGTTCTAAATTTTATATTTTTACATATTTAATGAATTTTAAACATCAAATATATTGTTTAAGCAAAAATTACTGGGTTCAGTCGAACCTATAATTTGGCTTGTGCCTCCACCCCTAGATGCAATATTGCAGCATCGATTTTATCCGAACTCAATATTTTCGACGCGAAACATAAATTTATGCATAAAAAATTATTATTTTTTCAACAAAAGACTTACTATTGTAACAACAATAAATGTGAACCAAAAAATACGTAATTTGATTTTTACTAATAAAAGCTTCCACTATTGTAGGTGATCAAAACCCCACCTATAATTTTATAATTATGGGGTTGAGTTATCAAAGGAGCGAGTAATAGCTCCAATAAAGAAGAATGAAACAAACACGATATGATATCCAATTCATAAACTGATAGTGAAAGAAAGCACCATCAAATAAGGAAGAGTTGTTAATATTTCTTCATAAATTGGTACGCTTCATTGTAAGCACTTCTCCGTGCCGACACGGCTTTGCACACACCTCCACTAAAAATTACCTTATAAAATATTTATATTTATATCTATATCTATATACTATATTAAAAGCACGAAATCCCTTAACGAAATGTCGTTCACATTTTTTACTCTTTTAAAATAAATTTCACATTGAACAAAATAGTAATTCAAATTATTTCCTAATATTTAGGACTTAGTTCCTTAATTAAATTGTGTATCAAGTCCTAATATTTAGGAATTCAAATCAATTAAGATTTTACCTTATTTAAATTATTTTTGCATTTAAATTTATTTATATAATTGTAATCATTCCATATTAAGTTCTTAATACGTAGGATTTTAACATCAACTAAAATTCTATTAATTAAACGCTCTAATAAACTCACCCAACACATGTACGTTCAATGATGGTAAGAAAATATAGGGGAACATCACGGAAACCATTTGGGTTAATTGATTTTTTTACTTTAAAACTAATTTAAATTTAAATTACCTTATATGAATTATTCTTTATTTTAGTAACGTGACATAATTGTCATTTTTTCATGTTATAATTCAAAATTTAAAATTTGGCATAAATAAAAATCTAATGAGTTACTGTCACAATAAAATTAAATAATTAAGTCTTTGAATTAATTATTAGCAAAAAAATATAATCCAACTATTTTTCAAATGCATCATCTAACTAGAATTAATTTTTTAGTTGACAAAAAACTTTGATATACAAATTTGTTTCCACAAGATCACGAAAATTGACGGTGAAAAAAATAGTAAAGAACGAATATCAATTATAATATTGCACTAAGAGTAAAATTGATTAAAATACAAACTAATTAATAAGAATAAAATAGTAGACATGATTATCTACTATTTGAATTAAATCATTCCTTATTAGAACAATATACGAACTCCAATATTTAGGTACTTAGATTATATTGCAAAATATTTAATTAAATTTAAATATAGATAAACTAATATTAATTAAGATTTGAAAGGGTGGGAAGGAGTTTCCACGTTTTAAAAGCTTGGACGAAATTATAGCGATATTTAAATATTTGAAGTTTGAGCTAATAAGGATTTGAATCAAGAAAAATAAATTTTTGCTTTAAGGTTGAGAACCAATGGTTAGTGTTTAACCCAAAAAATAATTTTCAAGGTCAGAGCAATAATTTTATATGACGGGCCACAAGCAACTGATTCAATCCGAAAGATATAAAATTTTGTTAATACAACGTGATAGAGAAGTGAGAAATAAATTCAATGACAAATAATATAATAAAAATAAAGCAGAGAAGAAAGAATTCTTATTGAATGATCCTTGATAGGATAATGAGCCGAACAGAGCTTGAAGGGCCGAATTATGGCTAGCTTGAGAGCAATATGCTATAAATTACAATGTATAGAATTGTAGAGAAGAAAATTAGATTCCCCTGATGGTGGTAAAAGTATGTCTATTTATAGGGCTAAATCTAAGTAACTAGTCTCCTTGAATTATGGGTCCATTATGAGCATTTATTCAATCCATCCATTACTTTTGGAAGACTTGTAACAGCTGTGTAAATGCTGAAATTCCGTAACTGATGAGTTAATTCCGTAATTGATGAGTCAATCTCGTGCCTGTTGAGTCAATCCTATGCATGTTGAGTCAATCCCATGCATGTTGAGTCAATCTCGTAATTGATTGCCTTGTTCTGACCGTTACAATCATTTATTGCATTTATTAATAATTGATTTGTAACTGATAGTGTAATGATGGTAAATCCCATATAATCCGGGATTAATTTATTCCTTCCTCATTTGTAATTATGAGATATTCTCCCACGCCTGATCTGGGCTATTTCATGATGATTAGTTCCGGGGCTAACATGCACGGTATGAGTATGTTCGGTCCCGGGGGTATTTCACATTTCATCTTTACATGTCATTTTTCACTTTTCTTCAAACTTTATTGATACGTGTCGCCATTTAATAGACCCACATGACGAGTCTAATTTTTACTAATACAGTTAGTTCTTAAATTAATTAACTAATTAGTAATTAAAAGTATCCAATCCAGTTTTTTTTTTCAAATTTATATAAGTAAAATTATTTTTTTAAGTTGAACTCTTAGGCTACATAGATTTATTTCTATAAAAAAAAAAAAGTTGGTAGTGAGATATCAGAAAATAGAGCAAATTTAGTAATAGTATTAAAAAGTCAAATTGATAAAAATACAAATTTGAAGCAATATGGATGAAATATTAGTAGATAAAATTTATTTTAAATATGAGTTAATATTTATAATTATCTTTTTGTTTCTTTTCACATTCATTTCAACAAATGATAGCTCCTTATATATTTTTGTATATTAAGTTATTTTTGAAAAGATATTAACTCAACAATTATTCTTAGACTTTGCACCATCATTTATCAATTGTTTTGTGAGCTATAGGGCCAACCTTTTCATTCTCAAAATCTCTAAGATACCAAAAGATTCAACTTTTCAATTTATTTTATTTAACAAATCTTTAAAGAACCATAAAAGTATTTTTTTTTTTGATTTATTTGTTTTAGTATTAGGTAATAGAAATGCGAATAATTTTAAAATCACAATAAGACATCTAAAATTTTTGATGGAGCAAGATTTCTTTCATTAAGTTTGCCAAATGAGATCGATATTCATCATTTTAAAGAACATACCCTTCTTCATTAATTTTTATTTAATAACTCAAACACATAATGTGATTTTTTTAAACTGAATACCCATTAATATAAATTCACGCGCAAAGTGCGTACTCTAAGACTAGTCTTATTAAATTCCTCTAGTCATTTTTCCATTTAATACTCCCCCCGGTCCAAAATAAGTGATTTTTTAGTTGTTTTCACACATATTGAGAAACTAGTCATAGAGTACGCGCTTTGCGCGTGTACTCTATAGTCATGAATATATAACTTTTAAATATTGCATATCCATATTAACCAATGTGCATGTGTTATTAAAAACAATTATAGAAAGAAAAAAAAAACA